GTTTGCAATCAAGACTGAAAAAAGCCCAGATTTGGCCCAGACTCTGTTGCTATCTGTGAAGCCAGGCATAAGAATAGCCTACTAATGTACATGTGTTAACCCACAGTAACACATTTTAACAGATTAATCATATATTTTCGTTTGCTGCATGCTTCTAAAAACACAATAATAATTAAAAAAAAAATGTTTTTGAGGAAAATAAAAAAAAAAGATACGTCTCGTATAAGTTGCATTTTCAGAAATAATAACGGCAGGCCTAATAATTTTATAATGTACCAACATTATGAACACTATAGGATAATTTAGTTCCCCTCACTTTACAACAAATCCTTTAAATTTAACCGTATCAGAACAGAATAAGAATTTAAAAATATATAATTCTAATGGATAAATATAATTGCAGTATATGATAATATATGCTTAGCAATAAACATGCCAAAACAAATTAATTTATAAAGAAACGTAAGGTAAAGTTAGGGCTTACAGGCACAAATCCAAATGTGTCCATATTCGCGATGTAGCTGAAGCTAAACTATTAGCCTTATTAGGTCAAATAGGCTTTGTAGTTCCAGTATCGACGGAAAAATATCATAATGAGCAAAAATATGCCACAGTGGAGCGGGTCTCGCGCCGAACAGCACGGTGAACGGCTGCTGTTTCCAGTGAATGCAGTAGCTTAGTGTGTGCGCGAGGCGCCGGCGCGATCAAACAGCTAAACAGCTGAACAGACTACTCCGTAATTGTTGGTCATACAGTAAAGGCATAATTCGAAACTGCAAAGTGCAAAGTGTTAGAGTGTTAGCAATTCAAGAATAATAGAAAAGTTAATAAGAATTATTTCTAAATGCAGCACCGTTTTTATTTCGCTCTGCATAACCTGAATGATAAAAAAATATTTTTTGCTAAGAACGAACCGAAATGAAAACATTTAGCTTTTAATCTGTGTATTTAACAGCCTGGGAGAACTTCCCAGGGCAGTACCTTGCCTCACCGACTAAAATCAGGGCACCCACTACGGAGACGGCACCAGAGGT